TGCTAGCTGATATAGGTTCAGGTTGGAAAAGAGCCAGTGGTGGCCAAACAAAAACATGGCCTCATCAATCCATGAAATCCTTGACAGTTAAACTGAGTCAGGTAGGGAGATGCAGACTCCCGGGTTGGGGTCCTCGAGACTCTAGGAATCAATGGCTGGAGACAATAGGTGACATGGCTGAAAATCGTTGTCAATGGCAGGCGCAGATGCATTCAGTCTCTGTAATCTTTCATATTCTTTTCTACCATTACCCATTCTGTTTCACTCTCATACTTGTCAAACTCTATTGATTCTCTCCACTCATCTTCTTGTCTACCTCTGTGTGCTATTTGGAACGTGGCAAGTTGAACTGGTGCACTTCGGTGCCAAGTTCTATGTTGAATCCAGACAGACAGTACTTAACAACGTGATCTGGGTGAAATTTGCTCCTTGATTGGTGAATAGCGTTCATATTTGGGCTGTAACGATGACAAGTGTGGTTAGCCGATGACTAGCATGCGTTAAAGATCATTGGAGCGTTCATATCCCTGGGATGCTATAGTTTAACTTTGCCGGGTCTGGGAGATTACAGAGAGAAAGGAGAGAGTGTGTGGATGCATCTGCTCCATTGAGAATGGCTTGAAAGTGTTCTTTTGAATTTCTTTCTATTCTCCTCTTCTTTTTTCTCTATTTTTGTATGCTATATGGAGTGTGGCAACTTGTAACTATTGCACACTTCTGTGTAAAGTTCCATGTTGAAACTCAGTCAGAAATACTGGAGAAGTGCCTCTTTCGTTGTTGATGTAGCTGTCTGTTCTTTGCTGTTGATACGAAGCGGTTTGAAACAGTATTTAACTTATGATTCATCTTATAGTTGAATGACCTTGACTGACAGTAAAATTCCATCGTCTTTTTCATACTTTGATCCTGGTCTAATCGTCAGCCAATCAGAATATTTGTTACAGGATTTCACCATGAGCTGACATCAGTTAGAGAACCATTGGAAAACCTGGGAGTAATGGACATCTGTTTCATCAGCCTAGTTTGGGACACTTCAACAGTACGCACCCACCACCAGGGTTTAAACCCAGAACCTTCTGGTTACAGGGCGGGCTCGTAAACCATCAAGCGGACACTGGAACCCGGTCGAATGGCCAGCCCATGAATTCTAACTTCTGGCAATTCACAACATAGTGCGACTGGCGATAGCCAATGTCATCGCTGGCTAGTATTTGTTCTGACACCCGACCTCCTGCACCTTACCGGTCACGGCTTCCCACTAAAACCCCTGTCTGTCTGTCTGTTTTCGACATAGAACTTTGCACAAATGTGCGCCAGTTCAAGTCGCCACACTCCGTGTAGCACGCGAAGCAAGAGAAGAAAGTACAAGAAAAGCATAATAGAAGCAGTGAGCAGAGGTGTGAGACAAAGGAGTAATAACGAAGAACGAAACAGTTTCATTGGAGATCATAAGTCACAAGGAGTGGATGCATCTGCACCAGCCACTGAGAACGATTTTGAGCCATGTCACCAATTGTTTCCAACCATAGATTTTTACCGTCCCGAGGACTCCAGTCAGGAAGTCTACACCTTCCTACGTGGCTTAGACCAACTGTTGTGGATTTCATTGACTCCACTAAAACCCCAGGTGACTATCTACCTGAATAGGTCCAGGCATGAGGACAAATAGTCGTCGAATACATGGGCGACTGGTAGCGCTATATCGTGCGTTGATTGGCACAAGTTGGGATTCTTGCGCCATTGGGCTGGGTTCCAGTGGGTTAATGGTCTACGAGCTCACTCTGTAACTAGGAAGTCCTGGGTTCGAACCATGGCGGTGGATGCGTACTGATGAAGTATCCCAAACTAGGACGAAACGTCTGTCCAGTGCTCTCATGTTTCCCAGTGGTTCTCTAACTGATGTCAGCTCATGATAAAATCCTACAACCAATCGACCAATTCCCTACATGCCAATACTTGAAAATCAGAATATTTATTTTCCGCGGACCTAGCCGAATCACCTACCAATCAGAATAATTTATTTTCCACTTCCCTGGAATATTTTAATATGGTCAAAAATACATAGATATGGCGTGGTTCTTTTCCTAATAAAAGTTGTATCTGAACTGTCACAGGTGCCAGTCTTTGTCTTTTGATATTTACTTGGCTCAATGAATCGTAAGGTCCTAGGGAAGAATGGGTATATTCTAGCAATATAAGTTGAGTTACTCACTGCGTCAGCATTACAATACCCACGCATAAGTCCACTCGGTCATCTCAGCTGTCGATGAGATTAAATCAATTGACGACAGGTCCATAACAAACTGGCGACTGGGATGAGGCCATAACAGCTAGATGAATGGGTGGCTTATTTATTTTTTTATTTTTGATTACAGCTTGATTCCACACCATATTTTTTGGTACAGGTATGGAATCTTCAGCATGTGATATCGGTAGCCCAAAGTTTGCAGGCCGACCATAGATATCAGGTGTGCGTCGGCAGCTGATCGAACCCCGGACCATGTGCATGGTGGGTTAGAGTTATAACCTTTGTTCCACCAGCGCACAGTGTGAAGTAACCGTTCTGGATGTTATTTTTAAGAGGATGTTAGTAAAAGCTTCCTAATGAGAAACCGTCCAACTGTTCTACTTTGATCACGTATTGGTATCAGTTAGAGAATCATTGAAAAAAATAGTCAGGGTGTACTGTAAAGCTGTTTTCTCTTTGTTTAAAACTCTTTGGCAGCACTTGCCCTTGATCCTAACCCCAGATATCAAATCCCAAGGCGGCGAAATCGGTGACAAATACTCATCGACGACATTAACTGGAAGTGGCAGTAAAAATAGCGAATTGACAAATATTAGAATTGTTGGACCATTGGATTTCCTCCCAGTGTCAGAATTGTCAACCAGCTGGCCTTATAACCTGAAGGTCCTGGACGCATACTGCTGGAGAGTGCTCCAAAAAAGGCGAAACAGCTGTCCAGTAGTACTCCCTCTTGCTTTTCCATGGTTTTCTGACTGAAATCACTCCGTAGTCAAACGTGAAAGTTGTCAAATCCTCCCCTATTCTGGCATTGATTAAAAAGAAAAACACGAAACAGGTGTATGATGGGAGAAGGCAAGACACTTAGTATTGGAGATTTTTCTGTTGAAGAAAATCACACCATATTTATACATTTTTGACCATATTCATGGTTGCCTAGGTCAGCGGATAATAAACTGTTCTGATTGGTTGCTGATTTTCTTAAGGTTAAACATTGAAACTATTTACCTGACCACAACGTGAGCACTAGATTCAAGTGTGAGAAATAAACGCCTCTACTTACTTCTCTGGCCAGTGATTTAAAGTGTTGTTTTCGATTTTGTCTACTTCCTGTCAATGCATATCTATATACTACTGATAATTGTTGTCAGTAGCACACACTTTAGGTGTAATTCAGCAAAAAGGCTCTTACCCTTGTGATAAGTCGTCATATTCATTACTAATCTCACTACTATTATTATTGAAAAAACTTGGTACATTATGGGGCGCCAAGAGAAGCGCCATACAAAAATAATAAAACACATACATACATTAAAAAAATATGGATAGAACGAATGAGGGTTGTTATCCAGAAAGCAAGTAAACATGTAACGACAGAAGACAAGAGTCAGGCAACAGATCGTTTATTGAGAGAACCAACAGACATTTATAGATTTTTATGTACATTATTATTAGCGCTATTGTTAGCAGAGAGGTAACGTCTTTTGATTGGTTGTTTTCCTGCTGAAGTTTATTCTTTCATCTCTTTGTGGCTGTTTCTTAGACAGTCCGGTGATATATATATATATCTGCGAATCGTTTCCGCTCAAGCTAAGTCTGCTGTGATTTTCTTGTTGAGTTCCTCAAGGTTAAGCTTTGTTCTTGTTTTTCTTCTCATTGACGTCAATTGCTGTCTACGATTTTGTCTTGCAGACAGCTCTCACCACAAAAATAATTTTTTCAGGATTATTCGTCGTTTATTATTTCATCATTACTTTCACAGAAAAGGAAGAAATATGGAAATCGCAGCATATTCTCCGTAGATTGCGATGTGTAGCCATATCATCTGATAATGTCTCAAGTCAGGGATTCGAATTATCTCTCCAACTCCACGCAGGTCTGTCGTGTTGTACTAATAGATGTCAGTTTGATACAATTACCCCTTACCATGTAGCTCCATATTATGGATTTACCATCCCTTTCCCCTTTACCACTCAGTCTCAGGAGTGGTGAACGGTAGACTGTATGAAAGCTGCTGTAATGATATTCATAGCATATGTGCAACCCATTGAAGTTAACATTCCAAGTGGTTGCCACTTATTAGAAGACAATCTTCACCATGTTGAAACATATACCGTCGGTCTTTAGTACTTACTTACTCCGTGATGCCACTGGACACAAGTAATGCTACGCAGACAGCTGATGGTTGAATGCTCAAAGTAGAGCAACAGTGAGTTCACTGAAGTTTTGTAAACCCGATGTCGCGAGGGAGCCGGAGGTAGATGAGGTTAGTGTATATCATCCTTGGCTTTCATTATCCATGATATATCTCAGCCAGGACTAACATAACTACGTCGACACACGAACTTACTGAGTATCTCTTCTTATCGAGTAAACCCGTGTCAATTTAGTCGTAACTTGTATTACTCAGCAAATCAACTGAACACTTTGTTTCTTTCTTATTTTTTTTTATTCCTTCGCGTTCCCGGTGGAACATAGAGCTTGAAGCTAGAGGCTTGGAGTTTCTATATCAGTGGTGAATATTTTTTAGAGGATGGGGTGGCTAGTCTCATACCCAACCGTATTGTTTAACCAGCTGTATAACTGGCTTAGCTAAGTAAAGGAGTGAGTCGGTGGTCGAACCATGTGCATGTTCGGTGATCGTCCTAACCGCTGTGCCACCGATGCACTTCTTTCTTATTGTAACAGTAATTTTGTTTTGTTATAATGCCACCACTTCTTTCCACTGTCTACTGTCTTCATTCATTCTTTTCAGTGGATCATCTGTGTGGATATTTAACTGTACGAATTAATCTTCAAAGAATCAATAGAGATGTATCAGGTAAGTACAAAATATTAACATGTGTTTATTACTAATTAGACGAAGTATTCTCTATTGTTTTAGAGACCTTTATTATAGACTACTAATCTATTGAGGTTGCTTTGCATAGGTTTGAGTCCCATCTACTCCGAGCTATATGAACTCCGTGTGGTAATGGAAACATCTCTAATTGTCAACCACAAGAACAACAGCAATACCACAGACATGTGAAACACAGGGATGTTGTTGAATATATAGGTTTTGAATGACCTTGAGAAATACTAAGTCCACTATTAGGTTAAAAGAGCTTTCAACCAATCAGAGCTTGGCGTTCAAAAGAGCGGGAAATGCAAAAAGTGCCACGAATGCGTAATAACTGCAAAAATATAGTTATTTTAAAATTGGAGATATATGACATAAGAAATTACTATCAAAATTAATCATTTAAAACCAACTTCCGCTTACTATTGATGGGTACCCAACTGTAAAAGTTGGTCAGGTTGGTATGGTTCCACGTAGGCTTCCGACATATTGATCTCCTCAGAGTCGCATCAGTCTTGTTTGTTAGTCGGACGGACATCCAGGAATGAGATTGTCTCTCCGGTTTCTGCTTCAATTGTAAATTTGATGGCTCGACATTATTCAGGCCACATTTGTCATCACAGATGATAAAAGTGTCATGAACGTACTTTTGGTACAGAGAGAAAAATTGTCGATTATCGATTAGTCAGCGGACCATTTTTCAAATTAATTAATTAATTCTCTGTTATTTCCCTCCCCCTCACTCCTTTGCCTTTCTTTTTCAGATGAAACTGTTCGATTTGTCTTATACAGTTATAATGAAGCTACAAATACCTATCAATTATTAGATTCCCATATGTCTATTGAAGAGATTAGTCGTGATCAATTTCATGGGATGAATTGTCTTGATTTATATTATGCGCGTGATGATTTATTAGATGATAATAATAATAATTAAAGGAATTCGATGCAGTAAAACAAATAAATGTACAAGGAAAAGCACACACACATTGAACACATTGAACAATTCATTTAAACGACAATAATACTAATATTATTTATTACTTCTGCGTTAAACAATATACATATTACTAATATAATTATTATTATCTGAATTGTATATTATTCATTCAAGTTATATTGTTATTGTTGCTGTTTTTTTATCTGTATAGTGCTGAAATCTGTTTTCTTCTAGTTTTGTTTTAATTTTTTATAATTTTTCTTTTTCTTTTATCAAGTTTCATTTAGTTTTCATTTTGGTTTATCATGTGCTGTAAGCGTGCATGTGTTTGTGTATAGTGCTGATATATAATTCATGCCATTAAATTATACGCACATAATTATATCATCTTTGCCATTTTGCATATTTATTTGCGTGTGTTTGTGTATGTGTGCGTGCGTGCGTGAGCCTGTGTGTCTGTTGAATTCTCTCTACCCATCGATCTGTCTGTCTGTCTATCTCTCTATCTACCTGTCTATCTAGGTGTCTGCCTGTCTGTCTATCTCGCTATCTACCTGTCTGTCTAGGCGTCTGGCTGTCTGTCTATCTCGCTATCTACCTGTCTATCTAGGCGTCTACCTGCCTGTCTATCTCGCTATCTACCTGTCAACCTAGGCATCTGCTTGTCTGTCTATACATACACACACGGCTTAGATGTGTCCTATCGTATATGTCATTATTCTTTCCAATTCATGCTCTCATATTTTGTACAGACATACGAAGTTAGTACATTTGCCTTTCAAATTTGACTTTACATCTCATTATTGTATAAAGTTTATTATTATTATGGTTGTTATGCGCAATTTTTAATTCATTATTATTTCTTGATCTGTAGGAGTTTTGGGCCCCTCGCAGTTTCTATATGTGTAAAACTGGCACTGCGGTAGTCAGTAATTCTATATTCGCCTACAAATCCCCATTGAGTCATAGAGAAAAAGGGAGACGTCCAGCGAAGAGACTCTTTTCGGCGGTGAATTCATTCACATAGCTGTACAATCGTGTTTGTATACAATTATTTTGGTGTGTGTGTGTGAGTGTGTACATGAGGTTTATCAAGTTTGGATAGTTGATGAGGTAATACAAGAATGATCTAATATAGAAACAAGTTTAATTAGGCAGCAACTAAAGTAAGATTGAGTTAGTAAGTTAGATGATGTAATATAACTAACTGACTAAAATGTTTCAACTTAGGTTAGGATAGCGACAGAAGTAATTACAGGTAGAGACTAAGTAGAGGTAGGGTAGAGAATAATACCATTTAAATTAGGACTAAAATTGAGCGAATAAATTGAATATGATAGAGAAGATTTGTAGCTAAGGTGGATGATTTTGATGTGATTGTGTTCTCTGAGCTGGATAGTTAATTTGCAAAGCTTTCATCGCCCTACTAAGCGACATCTTCAGCGAATACCTCGATTTCAAATGGGCTTTTAGATTTCTCCACGAATTTATTAATCATCTCTCCCGGTGACTCAACAGCGAAACAAGATAAAATCAACATCATCTACAAAATAAATTGTAACAACTGCGAAAAAAACACTACATTGGCCAAAGTGGACGTCCCCTTCGTCTTTGCATCCACGAATATAAGCTAGTCGTCAAAAGACGTGACATCCACTCCCTCACTCATATCACTACATACAGACAACCACGGACATCAATTCGACTGGGACAACGTTCAAATATTAGACAGAAGAAACAACAAGAATGCCAGCCAGAGAATTTTTAGAAGCCAGCCTGATATTTCAGTGAATCATCAATAATCAATAGACACATCAAGATAGACAACATTCAGCAATCGATAAGAAGGAAATCTCACAAACAAAGGGTCGAACTTTAGGTCAAGGAAACAATCAGCACCAACATCAGTACAAGTAGCCTAGAGGGTGTGAAAACACACAAAAATAGCCAGTTACGTTCAAGGTGGCCAGGAGAGATGACTATCAAACTCATGGAGAAATCTAAAAGCTCACTTCAAATTGAAGTGTGCACTGAAGATGTCGCCTAGTAGCGCAATGAAAGCTTCGTAAATTAGCTATCCAGCTCAGAGAACAAAACCATATCAAAAGAGCAAATAAGTTGGATGACGTAACATAAATGAGTGACCAGAAATTGGGCGTTGGTCAAGTCAGTAACAGTGGTAGTGACGTGTAGAAATTAAATCGGGTGGGGGTGGAGGACAGGAAAGTTGAAAATTTAAAATATTACAATTGAGAAGACAAAATAATACTAATGCAGAGACAGAAAGAAAGAAAATTTACCTGTCAGGTATTAATTAAGACAGATTACATCCATTGGAAGGGTAGTGATTGAACGAACTTCTTCTGTATGTAGAGTTCAGGACTTAGCAAGTGAATCGCTTTTGCTTCTGCAGTTCGAAGAAGTCTGATTCGTACACCTTTAGGAAGACTAATTCTTACTCTGTAAACAACATTGAAGTTTGTTTGGGGTGTAGCTTGGTGTTCGGATTCTATCGGATGTTCTAAGGTGGAGCTGCGGGGCATCGTTTTTCTCCTTTGTAAAACCATACTGCGAATACGTGTAATAGGAATGATTCAACATCTGTCCACCCGGACATCTGGAAATTCTACTACCCCTACGACAGTGAATAGAAGAGAACAAAGAAAACCGTAAAACTCAAGTTTCAAAGTCGTGTAGTTATAATTGTGATGGGTATGATTATGAACAGCAATAAATTTTGCTCGAAACGTCATCCATTAAATAATACTGTTTCTATGTGTGGTATACCCTCGTAGTTTCATCAACTGGTAGGGCATTGCTGTGCTTTGCTTTACGACTGTGTATGCGATATGACTAGCGAAAGTGGAAAACCTGACCACAGGTTTTCATGTTCTGTCTGCCGTGTTATAATGTGATATAATCTGGTGAGTAGTGCTGAGATTAGGCCTATAGTGTTAGGTAGGCGGGTGGGGGAGAGTGAGTCATTCAACGAGGTTATGAAGTTACGTAGATTGAGGTGGCTAGGACATATGTCACACATGCCAAACTATCACCTTCCTCCATAGGCAATGTTAACTGACATAGGACTAGGTTAGAGAACAATTAGGGGTGATCGAGCTAAAACCTGGAGTCATCTTATGAAGTCTTTGATAGCTGGTTTCAGTCAGTCATGTAGGGAGGTATAGACTGCCTGTTTAGGGTCCTCGAGATGTTAAGAACCAGTGATTGGAGACTTTCAGTGTATATAGTTCAAAATCGTTCTCAGTGGGGCACAGATGTATTCACTATTTTTTAATCTCATCCACTAAACCTTCATCTTTTATCACGTCACCATTCTTTCTTCTGGATATTTCTGACCATTATAGTAACTTTGAATCACTTTTTGCTGTCTTGTTCAACTTGAACTTCTGTGCAAAGTTCCCTATCGGAACTCATTCAGTAAGCTAGGCTTCGTTTGTCTTCCGTTCATTCTTTCTGTACATTTTTTCACAATGATCTTTCGTTTCCCCCTCTTTGCTGTTTCTTCGGTCACTTTGCTATTCAGTGAGAATAGTAATAGTAATAATAATATAATAATAATAATAACAATCGTAATAATGAGGGAAAGATACATAGATTAACTCAATAATCAAAATAAATAAATTGTCTATCCCTCTACGGCTAAGGCAGAAGTAGGAATTGTGCATACTTCTTTTGTACACAAAGGTGTGGCTGGCTTAAATTCATGAATGGCCAAAGCCTCCGCTGTCTTTAGAAGTTTATAACGAAGGAAAGCAAGTTAGCATAAGTTTGATAGATGATATACAATTGGTGGATGGTGGCTAGCAGTGGAATCCAGGATGCGCATTTCGTCCTGTTTGGGACTCGTCAGCTGGATGTACCCGCATTTCTCAGTGAGTGATGATGTTCCCACTGAGGCTCGAACCCAGTACCCAGCGTTATCCACTAGACCACTTGGGCCACGAGAGCCACCTCTGCACAAGAAGCCGACATATCAACCTGAGACCGAGCACTTCGGTCCAATCAATTGACGGGAAAATCAAAAATTCAATTCAATAATTTGATAGATGATCTTTAAAATCATGTTCAGCGTTGGCAGAGTGACAGGAGTCGATCAAGTGTTCTAGAATAGAGCTCTGCACACACTTCCTTTCTCCTTTGTAATACCTGCTGAAATATATTCTCTTATCCATGTGGAAAGCGTTGTCTGGCAATGACGAATATACCTTGCTCCACAAGAACAGGTGAACTGATAGATGCACATGGATGCGGTCAGATGAGTTAGTTGGTTAGTTAACAGTTAGTTAGTAGTACAAATATAAACAATATTTTAACCGATTAAAAGAGCCCATTAAAATTTTCAAAAGAATGGATACTGAACAAAGAATACTCTTTTCGATAACCCCTTCATCATCAGGCTCTACAGTTATATAGACATTGTAGTGAATGAATGAATTAGTGTTATGAACAACATTAATCTTGTTTAAATAACCGCGAATCAATAATATCAATAGATTACAATTCAATGGCATCAACATAACAATAAACTGAATGTCAGAAAAAATAGGAAAGATAATATTACAAATTCATGAATTCATAGTCTCTACTGAAGGCCAGCCAGGGCAGTAATAGGGGCTGGACTTGCTTCTTTTGAACACCAAGCACTGGTTGTTTGACGCGTATCTGATAGCCTCTGCTGTTTGGAGCATGCTGTGCTCGATGATTTTGGCAATTTATTTGGCACCCGGTAGATGATAGAGAAGGGATTGTTCAACGCTGGCTGGCTTTGTGGCCGGTTTGCACCAGATGGTCCAGTATCGAACAATTAATGGTTTTAATTACACCTTTACTTAGCTATAGTGGGATATGATCTCGAGTGTTCGCGAAAAATCAAGTTCCTAGAGCAACGGCCAATATAACTCGCTCCACTACAAGAGCAGTTGAATAGGTAGATACAATTTGAAGTGCCTAGGTACTTCATCTTTCCGTCGAGGTAGCACCATCGGTCGTGTGGAGAATAATATGTGTAGTTCGCTGCCAGCATTAAAAGTTCTTTGAACTGATTTTCTTAATTTCCTCGTAATTATCTCACTTGGTATATCGATCGCCGTTGAATTGTAGTCGTATATAAAGAGGCTTCTTGTTTACAGACAGTGAGTAGTCCTTTCCCGCTTTCTTTGTCATGTGTTTCTTGATAAATGTGTCGGGATAGCTATTTTCGATCAATCAAAGTATCATATACACTGGTTAATTCATCTTCACTTACTTCTTCTGAGGATATAGCTCTAATTCTGTGGCCGAGTGAGTGTCTTTACTAAATTTCTTTTGTATTTGAGAAGAACGAAGCTGTGAAAGTGTGCATATTGTCCTGTACAAGTACTTTCCCTATGCATGGTCGGCTAGAGTCCTAACCACTGTGCCACCGACTCCACCTTGAGGTGGTCAGACTCGGTGGCTTATCTTTCGACTGGCATTGGAATTATACAACCAATGGTAGATTTTTAAACATAATATTGAGGTAAAGAATGTTTTAGCTATTATTTTTCTGAGTTTAGATGACAGTAATTCAGTGATCGCGTTTCCTTTGAACGGTAACCTCATATACATATACATTCCTTTTGCAAAGTTCAGAATTTCACACATAGATGTTATAAATAAGCATGATGTAGGCAGTTTATAGAGTAAATCTTTCCAATACCTTTATTGTATTGATACCATCCTACATTCCTGCGATTCAATATCTAGGTGATTTTTTAAGTTTTAAAATTTATTATTACTTATTGTTAATAAGGTCTATGTTGATATTTTCATCAAAATGTTGCCTCATTGATATAAGAATAAAACTTGTGCACTGGGGGTAGAGTGTAATTCCATTATGGGTAAATTTT